AGAGCATGCCATCAGAGAGTAAAATATAAACGCAGTTTTACTATATTTGGCCCATGGTTTGGCGAATATATAGATTTGTTTGTGGGTAAAATTTACTGTCGCACAGTGTTATACATGTTTTAGATATGTACTTATTTTTCTGGCCAAAGTCATAATATCACAAAAAATGTGCTCTGAAGATTCAACATCTTAAAGGCAGAGCCAGCATTCTGACTTTGTGGGCAAGCTTATTCTGTGCAAATGGTAACGAATTCAGTTACGTATTCAGCAAAGCAATCTGATATCTGCTCTTTTTAAAAGATTGATATCCTTCCTATTAGAGGGATAGCTTAAGAGACCAGGCGTCTATGTATCCAACACAATGATTCCGGCACCATAAAGACAGTTGAGGATCCTTCTAGTGCCAAATCGTCGGCCATCTTCCCACCTCCAGTGGCCTGGTATCCAATACAGTGTCGCAGAAATTTAGAGTGAGCGTTTGAAAACACAATTGATTCACTAAAGCAGGCGTTCCCAAACTTTTTTTCACCGCGGCACCCTTTTGGTGCCAAAACAAAAATTTCCCGGCACACCTACTCTTAAAATGGTTTGACTATTTACGAAAATAAGAAAACACAGTGCAACTTTTACGCTCATTAAGCTTTAATGTAAGGAATGAAATTGTTGTGATGATTTCATTATTTCCTTTAAGTTTAAGTGGAAGCTTTGCCAATTTTACCCTTAAGGTGCTGACCCAATGCAGGCTTGCTTTGAAGAATTATTTGAAATATACTAAAACGTATAAAGGCTGGCCAAATGGCAGCTTTTCTTCACTTGCTTTAAGCGCCTCAAAGTTTGAATTAGGCAAATGTTTTATTTGAAAGCGTTTTGTAGGCTTTTGACAAAAAGGTATGTTCCTTTCAAAATACATAAATTCAAACAAAAAGTTGCTTACTTAATTTAAAAAAGTAACAGAAAATGCAGGTTGTTCCGAATGAAATAAAAATGATTCATTGCTTCCACATATATATATATTTAACATATCGTTATCTTATAGTAATAAGTTGCGAAGCCCACTTTTACAAATTTTACACGAGAGGAAAAAACTTCTTCTTCAAGTAAATCGCTTTTTTAAGTTATAGTTTTTTTTAGTAAATGTAGAAATAGATATGTATGTATCATTATTCTCATTTATTTTAAATACAAACATTATTTCGCATTTATTTAAAAATAAATCTGAAAGAGAGTTTTCTAGGAAATAATTATTAACGTTAAGGGAGCAGACATTGACTTTTCAACCAGACAGCTGGTTACTTTGACAGCGTTCCAAGCCACCACGGCCACGGCCAAGCAAGTTTTCAAAGTAAGTCAAAGCAAATTGATGTCAGCAAGGCGCGCAAAGCAAGCCTGCATTGGGCCAGCGCCTTTAAAGCATTTGACGCTAAAAGCTTGCTTCTGTATTTGTTTTTTTTTTATGTAAGCATTTGTCAAAATGCAGACTCACATATGTATGTAGATATTGCAACCGACAAAAGTTGGAGATGTTTGCGTTAAAAATTAGTTACCCCAATCAGCTAAACGACATCAGTTAAATTTTGAACCAAAGACTGCTTTGTAAATGTGGCCACCAGTGCATATTTTTTCTCAGACAATCTGGCAAAAATCTTTCCCTTTAAAGCCACCACAAAAGGTGAAAGTGATCCGTACACATGCCTTCAGCGGCAAGTTTGAAAAGGTTTGAAGCGGGCGACTCTTACCATAATTATTTATCTTCGCAGCGTCATCCAATGCGGGTTTTAAACCTTGTGGTGGCATCTTTATAGTCGTCAGGGAATACTGATGGGTCACACAGTGGCTGCTGGAGGCTTGCGTATGGACACGAGGTACACAGAGACATTTAATTTTTTCACGATTTAAGTGTCTACCAATGACTTCAAGAACGGTGATAAGTTAGGAATTCTTTTTGGCACGTCATGGCTACATTGAATAATTCTTTGGAAATAATGGCACGTGTATGTATAAAGGTTCGCCGGCCCTGGCCTACAAGGTGCTTTATTTCCAAAAGCATACAAATAAATAGAGTGTATCAAACAATTTTATTGCCTATAATTTTATTAATTCTTTGCTTTTTCTCATCTGCTTCCTTTTCGCAGCGGTTCGCTGAAAACTGTCCAGAAGATGCCACACTCTTTGACTTGCGGCAATATCGTCAGCACATTCTGCACGAACACAATAAACGTCGCAACTTTGTAGCGCTCGGCGAGCTACCCGGCTACTATCCAGCCGCGCGCATGGCCACCATGGTGTGGGATGAAGAACTCGCCTTTTTGGCATCACTGAATTTGAAAATGTGTTATGTGGAGCACGATGATTGCAATAATTCCTATCGTTTTCCGAGTGTGGGACAAAATCTTTCGGGCGTTGATCGTCGCCACGACTTGGAAGCCAATGTGACGGATATCATAGCCATGTCGATGGGTTTATGGTTTGGCGAATATCCACTAATCGATAGCAGTTACATACGCTCATTTCGTGTTTCATCGAATTTGTAAGTGAAAGAAGGTGAAATATTTGAAAAATTTAATAATTATGTAAAACCCACCATCTTCCTACAGCGAAAAGTATGGCCACTTCGCAGAAATGATGATCGATCGCAATACTCATGTCGGCTGCGCCATGTCACGCTACACACACCCCGCCTACCCTTTTCTGTACATCTACAATACAGCCTGCAATTATGCAAGTAAATATGCATTGGAAACGCCGGTTTATCGGGTGGGCGCATCCGCTTCGGAATGTACAACCGGCCCCAATTCAAAATATCCCGGCCTCTGTTCGGCGAAAGAGAAATTCAATCCAAATTATAATTAATTACTATTTACAGTACGCATCCCCAGAATAAAAATAAATAAAACAAAGACAAATGCCGAATTGAAATTATTAACCACACATTGATGAATTGCTTGTGTACTGTGTTCTTCTTCTTCTTTAGTGTCTGACCGGCTGTTTAGTCATGAAGTGCTAAGATTTCCGTAAATAAACAAAAGGTGATCGCTCGTAAAGCGCATTTAAAATGAACGAAAAAAAAAAATATATAATCAAAAGCTACGAGGAAACGAACGCGTAAAAATGGAAATAATTATATTAATTAATATAATACATATACACATATGTACATACATGTGTCGCATTATAACGTTCGCGCTAATTGTTGTTTCCGCTGTGCTCATCAGTTCGCAAGCCGAACTGCATTACATATCTAATTAATTTATTTGCATTTGCATATCGCACATTAAATATCACTCATACGCCCGCGCGCATTAGAGTGTGAATCATCCCTGCAGGAAATTTTTGCCAATGAAATTAGTTAGAATTTTGGATAAAAATAAAATAAATTAATAAAACAAAATACTGTTACTCGCTGAGTAAATAGGTGTGGAGCGGTTTTGGTGTAAAATAGAAGCATGCATTACAGGGTTTAATGCATAAAACTAGGCTATGCTCTGTGTTAATGCTTAGCCGCATTATTATAATAACCCGTTACTATTGATCCACAAAAACTGTTTAAGACATATGTAGATGGACAAGTCCGGATATGCTCTTCGTACTTTTAGATTGTTTGCGAATTTCGGATAATAAGGATGTTAAAATAGCTGAAGAAGGGCTACGCAGGGGCACAGCTTTATAACAGAAGTTGTGTAGCCAAGGCTCCAAGGTAAATGAAATTAGTATTATTTGAAATTTTTGCTAAAAATAAATAGGCTTCATTTCAATTGATTCGAAAGAATTAGTAGGGGATCCGACAACGGCATGGCTTGAAATTGAACGTGTTAGGAAATATTTCGCGAGTAGGTTGGCTAAAAAATCCTGGCCAGGATATTTTTAATTAAATAATCAAAACTTATATATATATATATATTTTAATTTTGCACTCATTTCAGCCAACCCACTCGCAAAATATTTCTTTACACGTTAAATGGTGGAGGGCCCTTGTCAGATCTTAGACTAAATAGATATATATATATAATACCAAAAAACGAATCATGAAAACACGGCTCAAAGTTGTAGTACCTTCTTTCATATCTAATAGCTTTTTTTGTAAGATTGGTTCACAAAAACCATAATAACGGGGAAAAAATATGTAGCTATTAAAAACGCAGAGAACAAAGGAAAATACCCCAATATGGGCCATGTTCTATTTGACGTATGATGACTTTTATGTCTGCCAGTTTATAGATGGGTTATAGGATATTCACATGACACGTAACTCGCTTCTCCATTCGTAATTGACTCTCTCATTCCCCTTCCATAGCTGGCAATTAGTAACTAATTGGCAGCAAATTGTCGTAAAATTGCTCATGCAACTCTGTGAAGTGTGTTTAATGAGAAGAGCAGATGGTATGTTCAATAATAAGAAAATGAAAAAAAAGCCAGTCTGCAATCAAAACTTTATTGTATTGACTGGAAAAGTTCAATATTTCTATTATACACTAATAAAATTTTATTTAAAGTTGAAAATCTCTCCATTTTGTTCAGGCCAAGGCAAATTGAACAGATAATAGCCTCGCAAAATTTTTGACAGGCAAAATAAAAACAATATCAGCTGACAAACACTAAACACTGTTTCAACTTAATTGAATGTGTGTGAACACCAAACTAAGTGAGGTAATTTAAAGCTGAATTGCCTCAGCTAACTGGCCTGTTTGAACATAGTCTAAGGAGGTTGCTTAGTTGGGGTTTGAAAGCTAAACTGTATGCCTTACCTACGATGCCCTAGTATGTTGGCCAAACTTGCCGAACACGAATACGAACAAGAATGCAAGGAAGACGAATGCGAACACGAATGCGTTCACAAGTACGAAGACGTATATTCGAGGAATAGTTATACGAAAGCCAATACTAATATGAAGACAAATATGCATACTTTTATGAACACAAAATCGAAAACGAACACGAATATTTAGATCAACCGANCAGAAAAATTAAATTATTCTTCTTCCTTTTTCATAAAAAAAGGCAGTCTTCAATCAAAACTTTATTGTATTGACTGAAAAGTTTAATATTTCTATTATACACTAATAAAATTTTATTAAAAGTTGAAAATCTCTCCATTTTGTTCAGGCCAAGTCAAATTGAACAGATAATAGCCTCGCAAAATTTTTGACAGGCAAAATAAAACAATATCAGCTGACAAACACTAAACACTGTTTCAACTTAATTGAATGTGTGTGAACACCAAACTAAGTGAGGTAATTTAAAGCTTAATTGCCTCAGCTAACTGGCCTGTTTGAACATAGTCTAAGGAGCTTGCTTAATTGGGGTTTGAAAGCTAAACTGTATGCCTTACCTACGATGCCCTAGTATGTTGGCCAAACTTGCCGAACACGAATACGAACAAGAATACAAGGAAGACGATTACGAACACGAATGCGGACACAAGTACGAAGACGTAGATTCGAGGAATAGTTATACGAAGGCCAATACTAATATGAAGACAAATATGCATGCTTTTATGAACACAAAATCGAAAACGAACACGAATATTTAGATCAACCGAATACGAATAGAAAGTCGAATTCGGAGATTAGTTACATAGAATACGAAGATGTATATCAAGATGAGTCCGCATACGGGAACGAATGCGATGACAAACACGAATACGAAGAGGAATATGAAGAAGACGACGAATATGAAGGTGATTGTGAAGACAACAAGACAGACAGAACCGAAACGAATACTAAGACGAATGCGAATACGATCCCAAGACTAATCCGAATGCGAATACAGCGACTAAAATGAAGATGAAGGTGAATGCAAAGACCAATACGCAGAAAAATGCGAATATGAAGAGGATTCGAATACGAAGACAAAGTCGCATACGAATAATAATACGAACTCTAGTACAGATATATTCCGAGGACGAATACTTAAATGAAGACAAACACTTAAATGAACACCAAGGTGTATGCGAAGGCCATTTTTTAGATTAATACGTTTATGAAGACATTAACTAAAACGAAGATGAAAATTTCGGCATTAACTGACACTCCTTGTATGTATGTATGTATATTCAAATAAGCTTACTTTGTCAACACAAAAACCGCACAAACAATTCCATCATTAGTCAACTTGTGATGTTTATGCAGAAAACGAAGCCTAAAAATATGTACCCCATAACTAAAAAAAAAAAAAAATTATACAAATTTATGAATTTTGCTTATAGTTAAGTGGTAAATAGTTCTTTGCTTCGGTTTCTATATAAAACTCCGCAGTCTGTTCATTCAGGGTATTCATATAAACGCGTAAATGCCTCGTATCCGCGTAACCTCGTAAATAAACCGTATTTCCATACAAAATTACAAAACTATGTAATACGAGGATGAATTGCCCTATTAGTGTAAATTGCATTGCAGATGTTTTACCTACTGGCGTTTTCAACTTTCTCTCTAAGTGAAATGTCATTTTGCTATCTCAGCTTCCCTGCCGTTGCAAGTTTTTTTTGGGATACATGAACCGTTAAACTTGATAATTAGTAATAATTCTTATGTGACTGACATTGCTGGGGTTTATTGCTTGCAATAAATTCTTGGTATTAAAATAATAAAGCTTCTTGAAAATACAGTAAAAAATAAACATTTGAATGTATGTGGGCTTATGAGCTGTATAATGCGATTAATTGCTGGTAATTAATGTATTCCACACTTTAAAAGCTTATATGAAATGATTTCAAATGATTTATTGGAAATTGATAAATGTGCTAAGTGTTGTGTTAGTTATTTACCTTATTACATATGCACATACGCAATAATGTAATTTTGTGTGTATTTAATTAATTTTATGTCAAATAAGTATTAGGCATTGTTAGAATTCCTGTAGCTTCGACAATGCGAGCATTTAGTTGCGCGACCCTGCAGGAAATGTATCTAACTATAAGCTAACTTCAAGTTGATTAGGAAGGAGCTAAAAGTCACTTATTATCTGTGTATTTTCTTTGACGAAAGCTAACTATATTTCTATGGCGATAGCTGCGAAATAGTCAAGGGTGGTTTACTTCTGCATTTGATGTAACTTACTTGTAACTTTTGGACATAAAATATCAATAGGAAAAACAATTTTTATTTTTTTATTTTTATTTACTTTATTTATTTTATTACATTTCATATTTGTTACCATATTCGGCTGTAGGTGGTTCCATATTCGAACTTCGTCAGACATAACTTCAAAATGATAATATGAAATTTCGATCTTCCTTTTATTTGTCCCCAATTCGAAAAGTATTTGCGAAGTGCAAGATATTTAAATAGAAAGGCGTTTAAAGAAAACAATCTCGAGCTTTACTCCTGCATTACTTGTCCACTTGTTTCAAGTTAGCTTTTTGTAGCTAACTACAGGTTATATATTTTATAGAAATCCCGCAAAAAAGCGAACTGCAAGTAGGTTATTTTTTATCAATTGATAATATTTTTCTGCAGGGGAGTAATAAAAACTAACTACAATGAAGTAAGTAACCTGCCCTTACGAAAGGATGTGACATAGTTTTAGCCACACATTATAATAAGAGCATGAACAACAAAAGTATTCTAGACCACAAGGATATTGCTTCACTCTCTCGTGTTCATTCAATCATTTGTTGTTAAGAGTTTTCAAACTGTATCCTAACAAAGCGCCTCGGATATCGGTCCTCACTCAGGAGAATGGTGAACTTGCGGCGTCATAGGACTCTGCAGTAGTCGACCGTTTCCGTGGTTGTTGAGTCGATAATCATATCGCTGGCTTGGAATGGAGCCACCCGTTATGCTCATTTAAGGAAAGTTATCAAGTCTAAGCTCTGCGAGGGAAAGTCGAAAAACGGGACGTAATTTCCCATCGGACCCAGTTCCGAAGCTTTGAAAATAAAAAATTGCAACTATCTGGGCTTTGGGTTACTGGAGGGTAGTTCCTAAAATACCGTTTTTTGCATTTGAGTGCATAGCTGCGAAAGTAAAACACTAAAATCCCTCCAGCGAAGGTTTGAAAATGTATCCAACACGCCTCAAGCGTTGGTGTGGGTACAAAATACATCATCTAATATAGACGACGCTCTCGAGCTACTTAGGATTGGTAACGAATAGCCGCTAGTGACTACAGGACAGTCAACTTAAGAGTTCACTGGTCTCCTCATAGGGCCATCGTGGTGGGAACAAATGTCGCTTAAATGCATAGCTTCTATCCTTAGATCCAATGGACTGAAAGCGCCAAATTCTTCTCCTCGGCGGGGAATTAGTTGCCTCGGGTATTCCCCGAGCGACAAATCCACAGTTTACTAGTTAGTTGCCTCAATTCATCAATATCTTGATACCAACATGAGTTAAGATGTTCTTTCTTTAACTTACAGTTATTAATAATTTTTCGTTATTTCAATACCAAGTGGAAAATCGGCATAAGAATTTGGGATTTCCCTCACAAGTCATGCAACATGAGCTAGTTTTTAATCTTCGCGCGGTACGTGAAGAAATGTTTGGCCCTATACCTTAAAACATATTCAGGATTTCTTCATTGTGCTCTAAAAGTTAAACTGCGGCTATGTTTTTTTGCAAGGAAGCCTTCTGGGGTAAGAACATACACCATTTGGGGCCAGTTGTATTGGATATCGCTCTGACAACTGTCCAATTAACCGCGTATGTACGAAGTAAGGTACGACGGCGGACGCTTTAGCCAGCCCCAGAAATGGGGCCAAACACACTTAGCGAAAAGCTTGGGATAGGAACAATAAGCAGGAGAGAACAACAGAGGGAGAAAATAATATGGCTTCGACAATATACAAAAATACGAACTTCTAATCAACCTCTCTAAAAAAAAAAATTTTATCATTACAGGCATACTCACTGGGCACTGCATGCTAAGAGCACATCTGCATATTCTTGAAGGGAGCATAACAAAATGCTAAGCAAGCAGTTTTTGGTGGGTGCCACAGACGTGATCACGCCAATAGACCTCTGCTTGAAGAAGAGCCTCCGCCCAGGCACGTCAGAAGGCATATTTCCGAAAATATGGGCATTGTACAGACCTATATAGACCGTTGGACTCAACGACGTACCGACTACTAATTAAGATTCGGTGCACAATCTACCACAACTATCGACCTAGGAATGCCGCGACTGCATCCCAATCTTCAGCCATTGGAGACACAGACCTTGAACCGGTCAAAACTCTTTACAAAAAACCTCAAGTTTTTTTTTATTTATAACTCGTAATTCAGTCTTTATTTAATAAGTATTGTTTTGCACACTGCCTTATTCATAGTGAGGATTATATATCTCTTTAGGAGAGCATAAGCCCGGATAGTAACGGTTTTTGCCTTTTTTACACTCTGAAGCTGGTGTGCCCACCCGATAAACCGGAATACCCAAAGCATATTTGCTTGCATAATTGCAGGCCATGTTATAGATGTGGTGTAATGGGAAATCAGGATTAGTATAACGGATCACAGCACAGCCGACATGTGTATTACGATCCACAACGAACTCCGCGAAGTGACCATACTGCTCACTGCAAAGAAGGAGGAAAAGCATACGAAATATAATTTTTAATTTTAAGTTATTGAGCATTTCTTAGGATTTTACTTACAATTGGCGTGTGACCCTGAAACTTGCAATAAAACCGCTATTGATTAAATGATATTCGCCAAACCACAAACCCATCGAACGGCTTATGACTTCGCTTATGTTAACACCCTGCCTTTGGTAGGCAACGCCCGATAGATTTTGTCCAACTGATTTAAAGCGTGGCGTATTGTTGCAGTCATCGTGCTCCACATAGCACATTTTCAAGTTAAGTTCGGCGAGAAAGGCGAGCTCATCGTCCCACGCCATGGTGGCCATACGCGAGGCGGGATAATAGCCAGGCAAATGACCGAGCGCTACAAAATTACGACGTTTGTTATGCTCGTGTAGAATCTCCTTCTTGTGTGAGCGTATATCGATCATAACGGCATCGGGTGGGCAGGCGGCGGTGGCTCTCTATGGTAGGTAAATAAAAATGGAGGTTAGCGCACAATTTTTAATTTGCAAAGGGGTATTAACAACTATGCTCATATACATATATATGTGTATGGGTATGAGTTTTTGCTTACCCCATCGTGGCCGCACGCAATGTGTCGCTTTCCATTTGGACATAGCTGCGGATCACACCAAGATAATTTTTTAGACGATTTTGCCGCCGTCAACACAGCGAAACCGAAGATGAAGAAACTGTTTCTCACAGAAAATTCTAGCATAATTTTTTATTCTAAACTATGAAGTTGTAAATTAATTGAAGTTGTGTGTGATAAACTGATGGATGGAGAGGGTTGTGTGTGCAAAACGTGATTAAATGCCTCGCTTAAATTCGCCTGAAATTTATACCCAAAACGAAAAGTATTTACCGTGTGAAAGTGGAAGTGAAATTCTTAAACTTTTGTCTTATGTTTATTAACTGCAATTTACATACATACTAATTCAATAAATTAAGGTGCCAAAAATGGCGAGACGCTACAATTATTCCTTAAACAAAAGTCAGTCGAGATGACGTAGTAATTACAATATTGGAGTTAAATGTACACATTAGCGCACACAAGGGGTGGGTTTTGGGGTTCAAACCCCCCCTAAAGCTAATAACCTCAAATGCAAACTGTATCTTAAAGCTAAGAATCCAGCTCTCAAGGAAATTATCAGAAATATTTATTATAATTTCTGTTGCTTGAAAAAGCGCTTTGCTTTTGCTGTAAATTTTCATGAGGAATTAAATATACGAGCATTTTTTTCTTGAGAGCTGCAAACTGATTTATGAAAATTTGGTAGAAGAAAATTTCTTTTCCATTTCTCGTCCGTCGTTTTATATGCATTTTTCGTTTTTCTTGAGAGTTCAGTTAATTTTTTCGGAACTCGAAATATTAAAAAAATTTAGCAATCGTGAAAAATCACCATCTATCGAAAACCAGAAACCAGAAATCGAAAAAATGAACATAAAAGTGCAAAAATTCATGGAATCAATAAATTTATTTTTACTGACTCTTTTTTTAAATTTTTTATTAGGTACTTTTGAAAGTTGAGCGCATCTTGAGTTTATAGAACTTTTTATTAAACAAGTAGTTTTTAAGGAAAGAACACAACCGACTTCAATTCTCATATTCAAATTTAGGGGTACCGTTAACTTCTTCAGGATCCAATCATCGGATCTCTAAAACAAATTACGGGACGAACCTTGAGGTACTATCTTTCTAATAAAAAAAGGATTATTGAAAACGGTTCACGTGGTCCAAAGTTATGTATTCCGGCGAGATAATAACCTCCCTTTTTTTTTGAAGTCGGTTAAAAGCGTTTGAGTTCTGTTAATCTGTAAATAAAGTGCAGTTTATGAATTTTGAAACGTTTATTTATTTATTACATACTGTACATAAAACTTGCATAAATGTATTTTAAAGAGGGTATTATCTGAAGCAAATTTTCAGTATTTTCCGGTGATATATCTTCGGAAATATAAAACCCCCCCCTAAAATATATTCCTGGGTGCGCCCTTGAATGTACATACATATATTGAAAAAGCATATTACCAAAGCAGGAAAGCTTTTGACAGGTTGACACATGCATGGCATGATGTGGGCGCGATTACTAAGTTAAGCACGTGTTGACTTCGAGTTTTATTACAATATTTACTTATGCATGCATGCATATGCCTCTACATCTACATATAATTGCTCAGTCATACAACTTAGTTAGGCCGATCTGGAATAGCTAAAGAATTGAGGTATAGTGCAAGCTCCATAGGTTATCCAGAAGTTTCCAGGATTTCCACGATTTCAAATCGGTCATCAAATATACATCAAATTAATGTGCAAGCTGCAGTTGCAGTTGACCGTATTTGTCACAAAAGTAAACCGTGGCAGAAAAGTCGATAGTGAGTAGTGTAATCTGTTGAAAAATATTAACCAATTTTTCGTGCAATTGTGATTTGGATTCGTATTATTCATAGTTTTGAAATATATTTCGGAAAAAATAAATAAAAAATAGCTGAGATCTCTTTCTTTTTTAAACACACAAATTTAATGGACCCTGGCTGACGGTAAAACTCAAACCTTTAAAAATTTGTTGATGTGATTTTTGAAATGAACGATTCAAATTAGCCGGCATACATATATATTTATGTATTTTACAATTTTTAAAATCATTGGTTGAATTTTTTGAAAAGGTTAAGAAAGCTTAGGTTTAAATTGTGATACCAAATGCCTTTCACCATGAAATGGCGCCAATTTAAAGTGATTATTCCATTTCACACTTCGACTAATAAAGCCCTTCGACGGATATTGTGAAAGATTGGACTATATCTACATACCTTAAAAATTAGTGTTTTCTCTCGGCCCAGTGTACGAAGCTATGAGTAGAGTAATAACTTAAATAATGATAATGAATAAATAATAATAACTTAATAAGAAATACAAGATTAATTGTTGTCTTTCACGAAGTTCGTTAAATAAATCTTGTGCTAAATACTGAAGTATATTCATGAAAATCACGTTTTATTTTTTAATTAAGCTTAAATACTTAATATCTGCAAGTATTTCTTTATTGCATTCGCCCGAATTTCGGTAGGTTATTACTAGTACTTGTATATTTCGCAATCGCATACAGCAGTGATCATAAATGTAGCAGCTTGAGCATACACATATGTATGTACATTAGACCGTACCATCTTATAGCAAACAAAAAAAAGGTCGCCGTATTTTTGCAAGGCCATTTCGAAAACTAATTTCGTTTACTTAACCTTAGGGTAGCCTTTTTATGTTTCTCAGTGACACCTCCAGTGACAAGATATGACGATAAATGTAAAAAGGAAGATAATGTACTAAAAGCTAAAAGGGGTCAGGTGCCAGTCATCAACCTTCTCTCCGCGTCAATCTAAAGCATTAGTGACACTCAAATAAAATCATGTAATCCACAATTTTGCATTTGGAATTGTTTATAGTGCACTGTATTCTACTAATCATTTCCGCCCAGCCAGCAAAATCATCGTAAACGAGCTCGTAACTGTATATTTTCTTGAAGAAAAACCGGATAGAAGTCGTTTATGATAGTCGTTTACGATTCGTTCTCGAGTACTTTTTCGCTTCAAATTGTGTAGCGCCTACGAACAGTCGTAAACGGATCGAAACAGCATTCGTATGTGAATACTTTTACGACCGATTTTTAAATGTAAATGAGTCTAGGAAACGATTGATTTACGATAAAAAAAAAACAAAACATTTTTTTATCTAATGTTTTTGTTTGTGAAAAATAATTGTAATTAATTAATTAAAATTCTTGTATTTCCTTTATTCAATGTAATTATAATTAGGAATATAATTAATAGATTTTTACAGTGCCGGACAAAAGTATTGGCACGGAGAATTTTTCGCAATATATGCAAAAATTTTTATTCTTATTTCTTTTCGCAATTTTTTTATAAAAATATAATTCATACAACAATAAAAGATATACAAATAAAATTGTAAACTTTATTTGCAACTCGGGAAAGTTCAATAAATTTGCGTATTAATGTCATGGTCAGGTCATGTTTTAGTATGACCTATATTTTTATAAATTATTTACGAAAACAAATTTTTAGAAAGGATAATGTTAATTTTTCACTAAATCTTTTCTGTTTTACTTGATTTATTCATTTATAAATAAAAGCTATACCTATTTTTTAAGCGACTTCACAAAAAAGAAAAGGTTATCAATTCGTCGGAATATTTTTTATTAAACATTTTTTTTTTTATGTATGTTACCACATAACTTTTTACCACGTTGACCGATTTCTATAATTATTTTTCCTACGAAAAAGGTGGTAGCTCACATGTGGTCCGATACAAATTTGGTTTAAACCTGATCATTGTTTCATGAAGAAATTAACAATAATCTTAACTTTTTATATAGAGAATTAAAGTCGGTTTTGTTTTTTGCTTAACAATTACTTGTTAACAGTAACATATATATATGTATTGTAATTTTAGTCATGATTTCTGACTATAACTAAGTGTTGCTGTAAAGAAAATTTGTAAAATAACACCGGTTTACCGGAAACCGGTTTCGGAAAAAGGCGAATAATCGCACACCCCATTAAGCACCAAATATTTTTTTTTATGTTTCCCTTGACTTTGAATTTATATATTGATTTCATTAACCTTTAACACCACTTTCCTTCACACTTTGTCTTCTTTCTCCGTATTTATAGTTCACTGAAACTTTGTGGAGAAAAATTAGATATTTTTAATAGAAACAAATTTATTTTTGTATGCATAATTAGACTAATTATGAGACAACCTTCCTTGGAAGCTGGTTCTTTTGATAGCAGGTGCCATAAAA